GAAGGAAGTCCCTTAGTTGTTTAGACGCAAAAAGGGGGCCTGGGAATCATGGGACTCGGCGAGTGGATGAACAGACTCGGCGAGTCCAAGGCAATCTCCCAATCTTTGAAGATGGACTCGACGATTTGTTCATACAACTCGGCGAGTCATAGATCGGACACTTTCTTATGAGGGAGATGAACTCGACGAGTTCAAGGATGAACTCGACGAGTCGGTTGAAGATGGTCCCGATGGTTTGAATGAAGGAGAACCCGTCGAGTTCTTCCTAGACTCGACGAGTAGAGTCGGGGTTGGATCGGGTTAGTGAAGTATGGACTCGGCGAGTCAGGTCAACTGGGTGTTGACTTTGACCAATATTGACTTTGACTGGACTTGAGTTGACCCTGGTTAGGGTTGTATATTCCATTTGATGACTTAGAAGGGTCGTCGTGTAGGGATTGAGGAGTCAAGGAGAGTCGATCTTCACGCAGGGGACATTTCAGACACTACACGACATCGAGGTGAGTTACCTTCCAGTAGGAGTAGGTCTACGGCCACAATGCCGACCCACTAGTAGGAATTATTTGTTAGATGATTGTCTTTGTGATAATTATCTGGTGTGTTGCTATCTGATATGCATTATATGGTAGGATGCTATGATATATGTGTCAGTAGTGGTAAGGGTGATATGACCCCTAGTTACCGGTTGAAAGATACCGAAGGGGAAGATAGTACCCATGCATGCCTAGCAGTATGATTATGATATGTTATTATGTGATAGTGGTAGGGGTGAAATAGTCTCGGGTTACCGGTTGAAAGATATCGAAGGCAGTTACCGGTTGAAAGATACCGAAGGGGAGGTTAGCTCCCGGTTACCGGTTGAAAGATACCGAATGGGAGGTTAGCTCCCGGTTACCGGTTGAAAGATACCGAATGGGAGGTTAGTCCCCGGTTACCGGTTGAAAGATACCGAAGGGGAGCCCAGCTCCCAGTTATGACAGACAGATGCCGGTTGAAAGATACCGAGAGATAGGCATTATGTGGTATGTGGTATGATGGGGGGAACTCACTAAGCTTTGTGCTTACGGTTTACAGTTTTGGTTTCAGGTACCTCTTCGCGAAGGGGAAGGAGTCGGCGCGGTAGCAGCACATCACACACACACTGGATTCCGCACTATGAGACTCCTGGGATTGTACTCTGAATTTCATTACTCTTGGTGATTTGGTTTTGAGATACGATATTATGGTTTTGTGGATTGATGTAACAATGGCGATGTTTTGGTTAACTATTTTATAAATTACTTAATTAAAATGAAATTTTTGGCCTTGAAAATTGGGATGTTACAGATGCCTAAGTCGTTTCTTCAAATCGTGGCTTCAATAGAGCAATGTTTCGAGTTGGATTCAATGTTATTTGATGAAGCGGTTGGTAGATTGAAGACATATGAGGAGCGTATAAGAGGAACCGAGAAAGTGGAGGACACTCAAGGTGGGTTATTGTTGGCTAGTGAGGAAAAATCACATGTTTGTAAGCATTGTGGCAATGGACGTTCAAATCGGGATGACTTTGGACATGACCGGGGAAGAGGTCGGGGGTCCGGGAGAAGTCGAGATGGTAATGAACGTGTCCGGGATAAAAGTCATGTTAGATGTTACAAATGTGGTGAGCTTGGTCACTATAAAAACGATTGTCTTAAATGGGAAAAAGAATAAGCGGGTCTAATCGAAGAGGAACCGTCAGTGTTTTGAACGAGTGGTATGACCAATCCGATTAAGGGGGTGATTGTTGGGTTAATCGGATTTTAATCCGTGGGTTTTTCTTTGGAAGTTTTTAATTTAATTGCTTTTCTTTTAGTTTTAGAGTTGTAGTCAAATAGCTTTTGTTTTGGTATAAATGTGAGATGTAGGTGTCTTTGTAATTTAATTCCAGAACTAGTTTTCAAGTATATTATTCATTGTTTTTAGTTTTGTCTCGTATTCCTCCATTTTTGTTATTTTGTTTCTTTGCCTTGGTACACAACGTGCAACTTTTTGTTTACAATCATAGATAAATTTAGAATAAATCTTAGATAAAATAAAACAAAACAAAGATATATGTGTTTTTTAGGCTAGAAAATGTTTGAAGAGTTTTGAAGACTCTCGTCCACATCTGCGCCAAAAAAAGACACATGTAGTCTTCAAAAAACAAACAGTTTGTGAAGCCTAATGTCTGTAAGAGGCCTTCACGACGCAAACAGAAAAGACCAAGAAGATCTGCAGACAAAAAACAAACAACACCTAAAACTTTAATGTTGGGTTGGAAATTGTAACGTCCGCAGATCCGGGCTAGTTAATTTAGAGACAATGAGCATCAAAAATGAGTTTTTGATGGAAGATTATTTAGAAGGAGTAATCTTAACCAAGTTTTAGAATATGTCACAAGGGTTCCGTACATATAAAGAACGCCGAAATCCGAGTTATAACGAAGAAGTTATGGCTCGTCGAAGTTTCGCGGCAAAACCGGCACGGCACCGGGAAACGTAAATAGTGGATTTACGATAGATGACTTTTTAGCCTTAGTGATCTAAACAAAATTTATAGTATACGTTAAACCGAGAACATACAAAAAAAGAACGCCCAAATCTGACTTTGTATGATGAAGTTATGAATTTTCTAAGATTTGACATAGTAGTGCACGACCCGAAACTCGAATTTTAGATCGAGCGGTTTTTTGCCTACGAGACCTAAATGATAGTTGAAAATATCATTAATAGGAATTCAACGGTAAGAAGACAGACGAAAACGGAGTCCGTATGAAGAAGTTATGAATTTTACGCGGACATTTAACAGTATAATCTCCTCGTACTGTTAAATTTAAGATTGGTCGAGAATTAGCCGACGGAATCAAAATGAAAGTTGTAGAAATTATTTTTACCTACGCGTGGATATAAAGAACTCGAAAACGGAGCTCGTATGCGAAAGTTATGAATTTTTGAAAATCAGCTGATTTCCACCCTGTGTGCGATGCCATGTGTCAGCACCAGGCGAAACCTTGGAGCCTACGCAACACCACGACGTGGTGAGAGGCACCACGACGTGGTGACGCCCCAGGCAGCCTATAAATAGAGGTGTCGGGTTCCCTTCATTCTTCACACCATCCATCTTCACTTTCTCTCTCTACTTTCTCTCTCTAAGCCCCAACCCCCCCCCCCAAGCCTAGGGTAACTCCCTAGCACGAGACGGAAGCCCCGGAGCGCCCGACGGCTCCGAGAAAAGAGCCTTTTGGCTCGGGAACGGTGCTCCAGCGAAGCCCGGTTTTGCGAAAAACCCGCTGTAAGTGAGTTATGCCTACCCTATCTTTAGTATAGCTTATGTTTTAATATAGTAACATTATTAGGACCTTAAAATAATTATTTGGGCTATTATTATGATTTATATAAGAGTGTTGCTTAACGCTTATATAATAGTAATAATAGCTAGACTATTAATTAGTCGCGGTTAACGTTAGACTAAACTCTAGTGGTAATGATACTAGGTTTTGTCCGAGGGAAATTGTTTTAAGATTAACGAAGCACTGTCCGAGTACCGAGTGACCACCTTATCAGGTGAGTGCATAATTACTTTCATCTTACACATAGATATGAAGTATTATATATAAATTACGTGCTATGTGTGCATATAACCTGTATACTTGCTATCTATGTTGGATGAACGATTTTATACATGTTTTAAATAATTTAAACTGTATATGTATGTTATATCTACGAATATGTTGGGTAAAACATGGGTAGATGAATGATGAGAGATGAAAGATGATATGAGTGAACATTGGCAGCTATAGACTTAGTGTCTAATAAATAACATTGGCAGTTATGGACTTAGTGCCTATTGGACAAACACTGGTAGCTATGGACTTAGTACCTATTAGGTAAACACGGGTGGCTATGGACTTAGTACCTGTTAGGTGTTGGTAGCTATGGACTTAGTACCTACACTGGTAGCTATGGATTTAGTACCTGATGAATGAACTTTAGTAGCTATGGATTTAGTGCATTAGCAGCTATGGAATTAGTGTCTGTCTTATAAACCCTGGAAGCAAGGGACTTCGAAATGAACGAATGCAGGATAGATGACTCTTAGGGTAGACCCTTAAGAGTAAGGAAGATAATGGGGACGGGTAATTGGGTTAATTGTTTGATGTTTAAACATAATAATTATATTATTGTGGGTTGAAAACCCTATGTACTCACCAGGTTTCCCAACCTGACCCACTTACGCTTATTTGAATCACAGGTGTCAATATGAAGTTACATTACACTGAGAGATTAAGGAGATATAAATCACTAGTGATAATGAATGTAAGTTCTGTTTATGCTTATGTTTCTGTATTGACGATGACATCCCAAATGTTTTAAAATTGATAAAAATACATTTCTTCAGAAATGCTTTGATAACGTATTTATCATGTTTTTCTGGGAACAAATTCCGCAACATTTTTATTAAAAGAGGTACTTTGATTTTTATAAAGCATAAACATAATCGGTCTTTTCTGGCCGTGAAAATGGGGATGTCACAGAAATATATTATAGTTGTGGCATATACCAATAGGGAGCTGATAATTCCACATTCATTTTTGATTCATCCACATATTTTTAAAGTCAACGGACAATTATGCCCCTCAGAGTAATCCTTTGTAATAATTGGTAACCCTTTTATCTTCCCAGTTTCCTCGACACCCACCCACCCTGGAGACCTTTAACCCATATTGTTGTCGGAAACCATTCCCTCTTCGGTCACTTGCGAAATCTATGGGTAGGTAGCAAAATCACTTGTAAAAGCATTTAACAAATCACCAGCAAAATCGACGATGTCGTCTTCAAGAAAACAACCTGCAAGAACCAAAATTAAAACCAACCTTCAAAATCTGATTTGTTGGTTGATGGGGTTTTAAGGTTTCAAGATTCGATGCAGAAGAGTTTAATATTTGATTAGTTTAGGAATTCTTTGAGCTTTCATCTTCGGTGATGAGTAAGGCTTCCAATCTAGTGCTTTCTATCAGCTGGTGTAGGAGGGTTTCTTGAAAACAACGGAGGGGCGGTGGCGGGAGGGCCTTTTGGAGTGAGCTTAGTCCCGGAATGGAATTGATCGGAGATGGGTGTTTCTCTGGAAGTTTCGGTGATGCTTGTGGCTTTTATCGAGAGAAGATGAGAGGGTTTCTTGAGGAGATGGAACTGTGTGTACACATCACGACGATGTTTTAAATGAAAGAGATAAAAAGGATATAACACCCTACACGGTGTCTTTATAATAGGTGTGTTGATCGGGTAAAAATTTTCGGGTTTCGGGTAATTCGGGTTTTTCATGTTAAGAAAATTACCCGTTACCCGACCCAAATTAAATTCTGGTAATTCGGGTTTGGGTAATTCGGGTAATGGGTCGGGTTCGGGTAATTCGGGTATTACCCGATTTTTTTTTATTTTTATTTTATTTTTATTTTATTGGCATCTAAAAATAAATTTAATGAAATAAATATGTCATGCTCCAACTTTGAACATTGAGATTTTTTAGTCAATTTAATCTAATCTAAGAGAATCAAAAAAGAGTTTAATATATACACTAGATTTATTACTCATTGTTTTAGATGAAAGATTTGTAAATTAAAACACTAGAAATAAGCCAAAATCGAATAAGCCAAAATTGAAAGACAAAGAAAAGTATACACGAATGCATTTTGATGAAATAATAACAACCAAAGTCAACCATTTAAATTACTTGATATCAATGTATATGCATGTATTTTGCATTTACCAAAAAAACTCACGTTTTAAATCTAGAAACCATAGATAACCATTACATATTATAAAAATAATAACATGTCTCGTTCTTCTTGCACCTACTCGTTCTTCTTGCACCTTCACTACTTCATCTTGCTCAATTATATATAAAAAAAAAAGTCAAATAATTTTAGTATTAAAAGGAAAAGATATTAAATTTACAATCATTAAAATAATCAACGATAAACATTTACCTTTGTCAATTTGTTGATTTTCTTCCCAATCTTTTTCATAATCGATTGTGTCACTTATGCTACCCCAAATCCAATCTTGTGTACAAATTAAACTTTCAACAATCTTAGGAGTCAAAGAACTCCTAAACGGATCCAAAACCCTCCCACTAGTGCTAAAAACGGATTCCGAAGCCACGGTTGAGACGGGAATGGCGAACACGTCTCTTGCCATCAATGATAGAATTGAGAATCTTGGACTATTCACTTTCCACCAATCTAGAATACTAAACATTTCTGAGTCGTCTTCAACACTTTCTTGCAAATACTTTTCTAACTCCCCAATTTATTCAACTATGTTCGTCTTCATCTTTTCTCTTAGTTTATTTCTCAAAGGGGGATTAGGTGCCATAAAATCCGGGTTTTGGCGTTTCCCTAGTATCGATGATGAAGTGGTAGACTCGGCGGTACTTGAAGTAGAACTTGGAGAATGAATTCTAATATAATCATTATATAATTCATACATAGAATCCATGATATATAATTCATCCGTTTTTGACATCTAAAACAGAAAAAAAAACAAAACAAAAAAACTGTTAAAAACATAATAATCAAGAAAAAAAGATCACAATAGTTTATTGTCTAAATCGGTATAAGATCATAATAAAAAATTACACAATTTGACTAAGATCATTTAACTTATTATCTATCCAACTTACCAATTAAAGATAATAAAAACTTCAATAGAAAACAAAATTATTACATGTATAAAGATGAATAAATTTGAAAAGAGTAAACAACAATTCGTCATTATTCACTATTATTACATTACCCAAAAAAAAAGAAACAAACTGTAGCAGGTGATATCTAGAACTCATTTAACTTATTGTGCCAAATCTAGATAAACAAATCATCATTTTCACAATTACTCTAGGGCTACAAATACTGAATCAGGACAACCACTATGTCAAGTTTATGTTTTCACCAAGTGTCTTTGTGTCTCACAGTAATTCTTCTTCCATCATATGTGTTTGGTTTTGTGAGAGAAGTTTATAATAACCCTTGTTATACTACATTCCAGCTGTCGTTACTAAACATCTATTTTAAAAAAAGATGTTCAATTCCCATAATGTATCTTTATAACAAATTTATTATACTACATTCCAGTACACCGATCCACCATTCATTTGTTTGACATCATAAACTCAAGAATGCAAATAGAACACCAAAAGGTGAACATAACCAGGTAACAAGATTCAGAATGCAAACAGGAGAGTAACATGGCATAAAGGAATTAAAAAAAAAAAAACAGATGCGCACTACAAAACCGTAACTTCAAAATCGAAATCGTTAGTTATATTTGGTGGTCGATTTTTCACACTAAATCAAAGTGTATAGCTGAAATCGGAGTAATCAGATTTAGAATCCAAGATTGCACACCTTAATATCATATGATTAACTAAAAAAATGGCGAGAATTGATGACCGGTACAAGACTGAGAACTGACCTGCGATGACGAGCTGCTGACCGACGACGACGATCTGATGGCCGGTGACGATGACCTGATGACCAGCGACAACGATTGATGACCGGTGTTGACATATGAGGAATGACGGACGAGGGTTTTTTTTAATAAAAAAAAAATCTAGTCGTAGAGAGTAGAGAGAATAGAATGAGGGGATTGGGAGGGGAATTGGGCGGACTACAGACAATCGGACATATACCATACAGGGATCATAAATGGGTTTTAGTATTGGGCCATTATTTTTTAAGGAAAAAAAACCGGGTTACCCGAATACCCAAAAAAGTTAACCCGATACCCGATTTACCCGACTCGATTTACCCGATACCCGAAAAAATCGGGCGGGTAATTCGGGTAACGGGTATTTTCGATAGGGCTACTTCATAACCCGCTGTTTGTGCTTGCAGACACATCTCCTTGGCTCCATTCGACATCTTTGTTCCGGGTATTTAGGTCTTTAGTCCCTCATCGAATACTCTGTTAAATCCAATGTTCTCGTCGATTCAACTAAGTTTATTGAGTACTCGTCTGAAACCATTGATTCCTAATAATGATTCATTCAGGTGACATGCTTAGAGGCACAAAAGGAAGGAAAAAAAAGAAAGAAAGAGGGACTCTGTTAGAGATTGTGGTTGAACGGGACGACCAACAACTTGAGCAGACGAGGAAGGAAGAAGGAGTTGCGGGCTGAAAGATTACCAGCAAATAGAATTGAAGATCACTTATCGTTTGTTGGTTAAGATTGCAGGTTGGAGAAGAATTGCAACGGCATGTGGTTTAGAAGAGAATGCTTCCTTTGAATAATTTAATTTAGAACATAAATGAATGAAGGGCATAATTGTAAACTTACTTTAAAATCAGTGGATGCATAAAAAATGATCGGTGGAAATATCACTACCTATACCAATACGATGCATATTTTGTTTTTTGGTAATGTTTAATTTATTTTAACATCTTTATGTGGAAGTTGGCATGGGCTCACTTTGGACGCTTACTAGTTAACTTTACGAAATATTTAAATGCATGCTTCAAATTGAGGACTTCTCCTTCATTTAACCCAAGCTTTGTAGATAAATATTTTGAATGGTAAACACAAAAAATATTTGGTTTTACCAACCACATTCAAAGCTTAAAGACGTGAAAAAAGTTATTGACATCATCAAATGTTTAAATTTGTGTAATTGTGTAAATACTTATGTTTTTTTGTTAAAGAAACGAAAAGAACCCATCGTACGTCAATAAGAATTTGTTTAGTGGATCAACGTCTATATTATAGTTTGTTTCTTTTCCGTACAATTTACTTTGCACATTATTATTTATGTTTGTATTAAGAACATTTTTTCCAAACTATCATATTTATAAACTAAAAAAATATCAATTACAACCTCCCAAAGATTATCTCCAATTCATTTACACATAACCGAACCTACTCATAATCACTTATGCTATTGTTAGTAAGATAAGTCAATCAGTTAGTTAGACTTTAACTTAACATAATGAAAATCGAATTTAGCAAACAAATGATCTGTAGTTCATTGACATTTCCCTAAACATTTTACAATCAATCTTGAAAGGAAAAAAAGGTTGAATGTTGTTGTAGTCCCTCTTTGTTCCATCAACATCATCTCGGTGACATTGTAGAGTAACTACATGTTGCACGAGACGATGGTTGACTTGTCATGTTGGTGATAGTGAAAGAGCTAAATTGGTTAAACTCTCGTTTCATTGCCCTGTAAACATGGTCTAACCCTTCTTCAATAAGCTCTAAAACTGATTGTGGCATTGGTGGCTCATTCACCTCTACCGAACCTTCCAACATCATCACCACCTCACTCATCGAAGGCCGCATGTTCACATCATCTTGTATGCACCAAAAACCGACTTTCAATGCTCTTAAAAGCTCCTCTACATCTACTGCCCCTTCTAGTCGTCTATCCGCTATCTTCATCACTTCCCCGTTTCTCATTTCCTATAAAAAAAAATCTCATAAATTAGTAACATTTTTGGCAACTTATTGGCATTGTTATCGTATATTGAAAGCACTTTAACATTTTGTTTCTTTTTTTACATAACAAGATACCGTGATTGTATATAGAAATTTTTTGAGAAAATGAAGAGTATTTTGTGAAATGGAGGAAAAATTAATGAAAGAAAATTTGTAAAAGAACAAATGAGTATTGTACCTTAAAAGCCCATCCGGGGAAAAAGAAATTATCTGCATCATAGTTCATATCAAGGTTTCTCCGCCCACCAACAATTTCTAACAAGAGCATTCCATAACTATAAACATCCGCTTTTACAGTTACAGGACGATTGCTAATCCATTCAGGAGCCAAATAGCCTCGTGTTCCTCGGACCATGGTCACAACCTGTGAGTGCTCCCTTCCCATCAACTTAGCCAATCCAAAATCGGAAACCTTTGGACAAAAATTTTCATCCAAAAGAATATTCTCCGGCTTGATATCACAATGTATTATCCTATTCCTACATTGCTCATGAAAATACGCGATGCCTTGTGCTGTACCAACCGCTATTTGGAACCGAGTTGGCCATTCCAAGAGCCTCTCTCGAGTTTTACGCGAATGAAATAACCATTTGTCTAATGATCCATTTTTCATAAACTCGTACACGAGAAGTCTGCATTTTGTTACAATATTCACATTTTAACTAAATAGAACTTTTTAATATCACTTTAATGTTGTTAACAACTAATGAACTTTATACCTTTGTGAACCTTCGGAGCAATACCCGCATAAGCGAACCAAGTTCATGTGATGCATTGACCCGATAGTGTTTACTTCGGTTTACAAATTCTCTTTCTCCGTGTGGTAGCATTTTGTCGAGTTTTTTCACTGCGATTAGCGTCCCATCTCCTAAAGTTCCCTTGTAAACACTCCCAAATCCACCTAAAAAGTAAAATTTAGGGAAATTACATATTATATCAAACAAAAATATCGACAATATAACTCGAAATACCTGTTCCGAGTAACTCGGAAAAATGATTTGTGCAGTTTTGTAGAATGCGAAAGTTAAAATTATGAGGAGCTCCCGAGACAATTATGGAATTCTTGAGGGCTCTTTTTAAACCTCTCCTTTTATGAACGTTGATGTAAAGCAGACAACTTAGGAGTCCAATAAGGACAAGCATGCTGAGGGGTAATGGGAACAACCAAAACCTTCGCGCGAGTGCTGTTGCTCATCCCTGAATCATCTTTTTGTTCACTATTGGAAGATGCATTCGACTGAACCTTAACGAACATGGTTGAACCCGAATCCTCGAATCCACCAAACTCTAAGCTCCGTAACACCCAACAATATGGGGTCTCTTGGTTTAGCCCATAAACGGAAGCAACACAATCGCAATCGGATAAACAAGCATCACCACATTTCGAAACTGTTGGGATGTCACTATAATTTGCTATCACTGCTGATTCTAAGTAATAGTAATTTGTTTGGTTAACTGTTTGGATTTTGAATTGGGAATTAGTCGAGTTTTGGCGGGGAGCTCTGCAATTTCCGGTGAATGATGAGTTCGAAGTACACTGGAAATCATCTCCCTTGGTGGAAGAACCTGGCAAGCATTCGCAAGAAGCATTTGTTTTGCTTCTGTCCAAATTACATATCCCGTTTCCGCAAGCTCCGGCGATGTCGCATGGGTTTGAAACGGCCGCCCATTCTGGTACCCACTGTCGGGATCTATTAACGTCGTCGTCCCAACGGTACAGCCGGAGGTTTGCCGTTAGTTTCAAGAATTAGCCTCCGGAGAACTGTCGGTCTATTTGTTATGTTACTAGCATATGATAATTCACTTTTGTCATTGTCATTCTTGTAGACATACACTGCTCCGACGGAATCTCCGCCGTAAACAACACCAAAGCTTCCAGCTTGGCCAAGCACCGCCACAACATCACCGGTGACGTTAGAAAATTCAGGTGTTTCCCAGTACGAATAATTAGATTGCGCTTCCATGGATAAATTATAAGGATCTGCAAGTAGGTTGTACGTCAAACCTAAGCTAAGTGAAGTAGGTTGTTGTTGTATTTTCAAAGTGTAATAACCGCCGCCGCGAGTGGGTATCCGTGACGAAGTCAACTCGACTGAGATTGTCAAAGGTTGACCAGGCAAGAGGGTGTCCGATGGGTGTGAGAAGCTTTGCCACGCTATGTCTTGGTTGCTGGTATAGAGAATGAGGTTGCCGTTTTCTAGTAACTCCATAGATTGGACACCGGCGTCGGTGGTGTTTGAGGTCCATGCGGTGGTCCTGCCGTCAGTAAGGACTAGGTTTCCAGTTGTATCAAGTTCCAAGATAGCGTCTTTTGTGACTGGAGCGTTTCTATTGAGAAGGTATTCAGACAAAAATGCATCGTGTTATTATTACCTGCAAAAATTGTAGTAAAGACTAATGCATCCTATGTTTGCTTATTTACATATACACATTCATGATACATATATAATATAGGTGGGCATCCGGACAATTAGCTAATTTGGACCCGACCTGAAACTTGTTAAAAAGTCCGGTCCATATTATTAAAAGCCCAGTGGTCCGACCAGTTAAAGGAAGCCCATATTCATAAGAAGTTTCTTTTGTCTTTTCATTTAATTTTAGTTAATAACCTTAATTTAGAAAGAGATTAAAACCAGTTAAAACAGACCGATCCCTATGTATGGTTTGAAATAAATGAAATGTCTAGTTATGTACTTATGTGTAGGCGTGTGCAAAAAAACCGGTGCAGGAACCGAACCAGTCGCTGAACCGGAAACCGGTTTAGGCCTGAACCGGTTCACTTAAGAACCGAATCGCATATGAACCGAACCACCGGATCCGACCAATTCGCCCTTTTTACCCTTGAGACCGGTTTGGAACCGGTTTTTTTTTATCCGGTTTGCTGAACCGGTTTTGAACCGGTGATGAACCGGTTTGCTGAACCGAATTTGAACCGGTTTTCGAGAGTTACTATTTTTCAGTTATTAGCCTAAAAACAAAAAAAAAATTGAAAAAAACCTTTTTTCCGTCGAACCGGTTTTGAACCCTTTTTGAACCGGTTTAAGAAACAGTTTTTGGACCGGTTTTTTAAACCGGTTTTTTTTTTGAACCGGTTTCTAGAGAACCGAACTGGTTTACATATGTTCGGATTATTTTGAGGCTGGACCGGTTTAGAACCGAACCGGTTTCAGGGTGAACTGGTTTTGACTAAGTTGACCAGAACCGAACCGGTTTTCTGAACCGGTCCGGTTCAGAAAAAAAACCGGTTTGTGCATGCCTACTTATGTGTGTTAAAGGCCATGGGCAGGGATCGCTTACAGGAGGCCCAATAAAGGATTTTGGGATTGGGCCTGGGATTGGTTATAGTCGGTAAAAGGTGTGGTCGGGCTCGATTTTTGTACTACATACATATATCTATCTATACATAAATCAATTCTAAAAATAGTAAACCACACCATTACGTGGTGGTAAATCGATTTTTGGTATGCCAATATTTTGACCGTAGATCTCCTTTATATAATTTTGTATATCTATTGTAGGCGCAATAAATTCCGTGGTAAGGACAAACACAAATAAATTTTCAAGTGATACACTGACACAAAAATCTTAGCAAAAATAAAATTGAATATAAACATTCATACTCACTAATGAAAATTTCGAATCCTAGTTTATTGAACAAAGATAGCAATAACATTAAATCATCAATAGTTTTATAAACATTCAAAAACTCTGTAAACTATAATTTTTTAAAAACAACTAAAGAAACTGAAAATACGTTCCTTTCAAAATTGATTTGGTTTTTCAACTGGGCAAACGCCAACATTGTCCGTAGCGTGGGGTTGCCCATGATGTGATTGTATGTCTTAGTAGTAACTTAATTATACATAACTTATTACAATTACATTAAAATAAATTGGTGTGTAAAATAATATGCATTAAAGAAAAAGATACAAGTTACGAACTTACAAATAAGCAGACCAAGCAAGAGTGCGGTCTCCTGGAAGATTGGCGAACCAAATTCCCAGTTGATATCGATTGTCTTGTGAACTTGAAGTATCATCTGAAGCTGGAGCAAACCCAAATGCAAATGTCTGATTAGGAGACTCCCATATTTGATTGTTGTTAGCATATAATCTCGAACCCAAACCAACCCGACCCGATATGCACACAACCACCTCTAGCAAAACAACAAAGAACAAACTCCAACTAGTAGAGCAATAATAAGCCATTTACGAAAAGCTCATGATACTATAAAAAAACAAATGTTTGATGGGTGCATATATACAATAAGTGGGAAGAAAAATGGGTGTATTTTGAGAATACGTGTACAAGGGTGGGTGAGCTAAATGTTGAAAAGAGTTGGGGTGGTCGGCTCATTGAGATTTGAGAAGGATTTGGGGAGTTTGAGGACACGTGTTGAGTGGCATGAGGTTCTACTACATGGGCCCATAGCCGTTATATTGAGCTTGGTGACACTCGCACGTTTCTCTTTTTATGGCATGAGACTCAATTTTCTCGACTTTCACACTTGGGACTTGGCAATCAGGTTATATATATTTTTTGGGGCCTGATTCTTCCATATCAGATTGTTATTCATCCAGGGAAAATGTTTAGAGTAAATTACAGAAATGGTCCCTGTAATTTGGTCAGAATCTCAGGTTTGGTCCAAACTTCGAAAAGTTGATACGTTGTATCCCTCTGGTTTCAAACAATTACACTATTGGTCCCTTTTGATTAACACCGTTGACAATAAGATGTTAAGTATTAAAAAAAGACCGATTTACCCTTGTTTTTTTGTTTTCCCTATTTTCCCTTTTATTTTTTAATTACAAAACTGCATGGACTATTTTTGTAAACACTGGAAATCAAAAACCTAATAAGTTCTTCCCTCTTTATCACCGGATATACAAACACCCCGCCTCCATCACCACATATGACCACACTCCCCCTTCATAAACATCACCACCACTTCTTATGTCTCAATCACTATCACTGTCGCCACTTCCACCGCCTCCGACTCCATCTCCATCTCCACCACAACCTCTTTCCATCATCTCTTTCTCTCACCAGACATTCCTAATCTACAATTCTTTACATCGGCTTCGCCCCTAAGGAAACTCATATGATCACCATCTTGTTGCAACCTGTCGGCATACACCTCTAGAAACCCTACATTGATAATCAATGCAAATCTCAAGTCAAAGAACAACGTGTGCGTCAAAATTAGTATCCATTTGTGTCGAATTTTGGTCTATATACCTTCTTGAAACTAGATGCACATCAAGGAATACTAGAAGAAGCTGTTATGAGAGGTAGAAAGCACCAAACTTATCGAAAATGGAAGATATAAACGTGGCCACTATGCAGTGTTATTTTTGAAGCTAGTGTGTCATTAATGACTAGTGGTATGAGCAAAATCAATGTTTTATTGGCACAGATAATGTATTTCGATGTTAACCATGGCGAAAATGGAACTCCCACATCACCATCCTTTACTCCCTCTTTATTCACCTGAAAAATGGATTCCACTAATTTTTTTTATAAAGTTCTGTTTCAGATTTCTTTATACGTGTTTATTGTTTCTTTATGTTGAAGGTCTAGGATTTTGTTTGTGTATTTATTTTCTGCTACTAGTAGTTTAATTTGGTTTCGGTTTGAATTCCGGTGTGTGGATTTTGTTTAGTCTGATTTCTGAAGTGATTTGCTTGGATTTTCCTCATATTATGCATATTCGTAGAGACAAAAAAAGAGGGACAGAGGGCTGATCGGAAGACGAAGGAGGAGGAAGAGGGATATAATGGTCGTGTCGGATGGGCAAGGATGATATGCAAGAAGAGAATGGGTGGGGTGGGGTGGGGAATGGCTACAAAATAGATAAATAATTATATAAGAAAAAAATAAAATAATAAATCAAAATAAAATGAGGGGTATATTAGTAAGTTTCAATGCTCTTAACGGAAGTTTTCTAACATAGTTAGACGAAAGGACCAAAACTGCATTAATTACAAACCATGGGGATGAGACATATCAACTTTTCAAAGGTTAAACTAAAACCGAGAATTTGACTAAACCATAGGGACCATATCTGTAATTTACTCAAATGTTTATGCATTTACATTTATACCCTTTTATATAATTATAATTAATAATTAATCAATAAAAAAATAATAAAAAGAAAGATCTCAAGTTTCCTTTTTCCTCGCGATCATAACAACAATAGCCATAAAAAACAATATAATCCATCCTGCAAATTAACAGATTCATCAAACTAGAAACTTGTTTCCTGCAAATTTAAAGATTTATCATAGTAGAAACTTACCATTGAAAAGTGTTTAATTCAATGATTCATCATTTCAGAAATTTATCATTGCAAAACAAAGACAACAAATTATTCAATCCACATGCACAACATTGAAAAAGAAAACAATTTTTGTAAGAACCTTTGCAGGGTGTTGGAAACATAACAAATCAATTAAGATTACCAATTAGATGTTAAAAAAAGAACATCTGGTAATCACAGAACAACCTACCTATCGAATGAACTTCAGATTAACACGCAAACACACAAATATTAATCGTTAATTAAAGATGAACACACACTGACGGGAATGATAGACACTCCAACGAGCATACCGACGGAATTGCAGATTAACACACACATACACCGATAGATTCGAGCGTAAACACGAGAACACACACACATACACCTATCAATTTTTGGATGAATGACAAGAGGAAAGCGTCAGTTTTTGGAGCATAGCGACGAGAATTCTAGATCAATGAGTGGTGTTGGAGTGGGAGGAAGAAGCAACATATATGTATTCATGTTCACTAACCATTTAAGAGTGGGAGGACGAAGCAGATGGTGTAAAGTGAAGAAGCATCGGCGACTGAAGAAGTATCGGCGAAGGAGGAAGAAGGATGGAGGAATAATCAGACATTCTTGGGAAGTAGGACTCTTTCACTTCATTAACTATTAACTAGAGGGGTTACCCGCGCGTTGCGCGGGGCAGAATGTCTTTGTTTTCTGAGACAAATAAGGAAGTACATTGCATAAATTGGTATCCAAATTAAAGTATGTTGCTATTCTGTGTAATTTGACATCAATTGGATGAATGGAAATGTAAGCAAAAATTGATTACTTAATTGGTCCTTGTGGAAGAATTGTTTTATATAATGGTCACTTTTGATAAAAAGATTACAGAGTTGGTTCCTATGATAAAAAAAACATTACCAAAATGGTCCGTTTGTAGAAAAATATTACAAAAATGGTTTGTATACATAAAAATATTACAAAATAGTCCATGTACACAAAAATATCACACAAATGACAACTGTGGTAGAGAAACATTACTGAATTTCTCTCTATGACATAAAAACATTACAAAATGGTCTTTGCTGCAGAAAATGACAACTGTAGAAAAACATTACAAAATTGGTCCATGTACTGGAAAAGATTAGGGAATTATATTCTTATATCTTGCACTTAGCTCATTATTGGACTAAATGCAATAAATAGGTATGGTACCTGCACAAAAGCTTCTTTCTAACCTCTACGACTAAACTCGAATCAAATTTCTGAAAAGGACTATGATATACATTGCAAATTTACTTTTTTTGCCATTTTGCAAAACTAAATACTTACAAAAACTTATCAACAAAAATGATTACTGTTAGAATCCAATCCCTGTAACACATTTTCAATAAAAGTTAGGAGTACATCTCATAATCCATATCTAGCCACCAAAAAGTAGCACCCTTTTTTAACTTTAGTTACTAAAATTGTATCACTTCCCTTGAAATAATTTTAAATTTACCAAACTACCCTTCACCATATGCAACATAGCAATAGCAAGAGGGACAAAAACACACCAAAAAGTCAATAAGAATCCTTGAATTGTCTAAAAACATTACCAGAAACCTTAAATGAGAACCAATTGAAAATTATGCTTCCCCAACAAAATTTTATTCAGCCTGATCGATCTAATAATGCCCTGTGCCCCTGTCATAACAAACAGTTTAAAATAATTATTTAAAAAAAATACAGTTGTAGTATAAGAATATGATGATTTAATCTAAGGAGTATTACCTCCATCATTTCACATAAGGGCTGATAAATCTGTCGTTGATAAGCCTGTGGAAATCAGTAGTTGATAAGCCTGTGGAAGTTGATTGCTATTACAAAGATTTTCCAAAGTCCAAAGCAGGGCAGAATTATAAATCGGGGTTTGTGGATTCCAATTGTCGTCGTTCCTCCAAACCCCAGGTGAAGAAAAACATAAAAGTCTTCAAGTTTTGATTTTTGGATGGGTTGGAGGGAAACATGTATCTTTTTAAGCTACAGTTTCCACCTTCTACACCTATTATAAGCATTGTAAATCATAAAGTTTTTTGCTTTTAAATCAATTGTTTAAAGGAATTTGTCTTCTTTACTAATGTTAACATGATACCAAATCTGGTTTGAAAATCAAAATATTGGTAAGGAAAAAATATATTAAAAATAAATCAAAATTTGCATCAAATTATAATCGAAAGTCAACAATGGTAAAGCAATTGCATTTGGTCCCTGATTGAATTCAGTCATGTAACATGCTTTTAAATTATCAATGTTTTTGTATTCGTCATGCTAAAAGGATGTTAAATAAAGAATTGCCAATTTACCCTTATGCCTTCAACACTTAAACGGAATCCCTGGTGTAATAAACTCACCCCCATACCTTTTATCTCCACTTACTATCAGATGTGGTAACACATCAGATCCATAAAATAATCCATTTCTTTCCATAGTTATCAAATCTACACCACAAACAAACAATTTCATCCCTAATTAAGAAATGGGTTGTCCTAAAATTCGAATTGAAGTAATAAATCTAATTTAAGAAACATAGAAGTCATTATAAACGTACAAAAGTTACCTGTATCTCAATAGAAAGCAGAATCTTTGAGAATGGAAGTCTGTTGAAATGTTCAAAAACATTTTATAACAATTAAAGAGGTCTTTAAGCTTTTAATAAGGTTTGATAACAATGATAAGTTCTCACCTGCCACCCAAGAGACTTGTAATTATACCTGATGTTACTGCGTCACTGGAACCCTACAGCTAAAAAGATTAGATCAATAGCAAAAGGCACACATTATGATGAAAATTATTGAAAAATAAAGAACACCCCATAAGCTACTATTCATATCAATCAGTCATACCTATTTATACATCAGTTTCATGATGCTTATTTATATAAGACA